TGTGAATTAATTATTTTAATTTGCTCTGATCCATTGACTTAATTACTGTCATTCAAATACATCAATCAGTGATTAAAGTTTAGATCCAGACCCAAACTTCTGCCCCGAGTGTCTTATGCTGGACATGATAGAAGAACGCAACATTATAGTTTGTAAACACCAAGATTACTCTTTAAAGGGACACTATAGGCACCCAGACCACTTCATCTCATTGAAGTGGTCTGAGTGCAGTGTCCTGCCCTCCTTAATCCTGCAATGTAAAACACAAGGTACAGAGACTGCCTTTACCAGATATCCACTAGAGCCGCTTTCTGGAGTTTTACGGAATTTGACTCCAATAAGTGACTCTGGACATCCTCACATTCTGCATGAGGACGTCCAGCATCAGAGAAAATCCCACAGGAAAGCATTGAGGCGCTTGCTGCGCATGTGCATTAGGTCTCTACAATTGGATGACGATGATGTGGAAGTGGACCCAGTGCTGAAGGACATCGAGTAAGTGAATAAGGGATTATGTAATCCTTTACAACACTGGGAGGGGCTGCGAGCAATATATCTTTGTAGTCCTTATACTATGTGTTCCTTTAACTGGACATACTGCAACAATTACCAAATGAATCATTTCAAGATCGTAAGATATTCATTACTATTTATCATTCACTTTTTGTTGTTAAAAAGCGGGAGCCTAAGGAAGCCAGCAGATCTATACAGGCTGCACAGTAGTAACGCAAAGAAAATTTAACATTTCAAGATGCTTTTGTTACAAATATTTATTATATAACAATGTTTATATTATATGTTAAGCATTTAGGTTGAACGGTTAATTTTCAGCTTTTTCTACATTACAGCCAAATAAGATATATATTCACATAAATGACAAGATTCTGAAAACAGGTTCTAAGCATATATTTTTTTAATTAGAGATAAAGCATCTGGAGGATGCCTCATCCAATCCAATGATGGGCCTTCAGGATGAATTATGTCTCCACAGGTCGAGAGTCTTCTTCAGGTGCTGTCACTCCGGCAAATTTGATCAGGCAGAAAACAATGTGCTTGAAGAATGAAACATGAAGCCCTTGTATTAGCGTTACAATCTATTAGTACTACGAGAGAAAGTTATTTCCAAACAGTTATCGATTGCTATTTTCACTTACATTGAAATACATATTGTCATGGCTAGGCACACATAGTAAGAATTTTTCCTTTTTATGGACAAGTTAGATATCTGAAACCTTCTGATTTTATATTATATTATATTATATATATATACACACACACACGTGTATACAGACTTTCAGAGCTATTGTCTTAGCATGATTTATTACGTGCAGATTACACATATCAGTATTTGGAAGAATTTCATTGGACTTGGACACTTAAGCCTTTTAATCCAGGAGATGTTCAAGATCGCCAACAAATATATTTTATACAAATTGTAATCCAAACTCACAGTGCTATAATCCCAGAGGTTTTAAAAGTATTCCCATAAACTGATCTGTGCATAAGTAAATTCATTTATTTTTCCACAAACAAAGGATTGGAGTGAGCTGACAGAGAACTGACATTTAGACAAAAACAGTTGGGACATTTTCTAAATCTGATAATCTGATCTAAATCTCTACTATCAGGACAACTCGCAGGCCTGGCGTTACCATACAATGGCACAGACGGTTGCCCTAGGGCGCACCAGCCCTGAGGCACAGGATTTGGGTGACCGGCAGGAGGAGAGCACAGCACAGAGTTTCCCTGCTGCCGGTCTCTGTATGTAGCGTGGCCAAGCATGGACCGCGGGAGAGAAGCTTTTTTTTCCCTCTACCGGGCCAGTCTGACAGGAAGTGAGCACAGAGAGTGCTGAACTGCTTCCTGTTAGACCAGGGAGAGGGGACACATATGTTGGCCTGGGGGATTGAGACACATAGGGGGGGCTAGGGGATTGAGACACATGGGGGGGCTTGGGGAATGAGGCGCTGGGGGAATATGGCACATGGGGAGGCTGGGGGCTTGAGACACATGGGGGGCTGATAGATTGAGACACATGGAGGTTTTAGGGAATGTGTCACTTGGAGGGACTGGGGGAAAGAAATGAGCACAAGGCAAAAAGGGAAGGATAAGAAACCCAAATGGGGAAAGAAATTTGAGAGGGGGGTTTAAGGGACACACAGATGAAGATGCATTTTTGGGTGGGGAATGGGGAAGTGGTGGCAAAATGAATCTTCATCTGTGTAGCCAAAAATCCTTGCACTTGACCTGACAACTAGATTTATAGTTTAGTTAATAAAACCCTAAATCTATGCACTGAACTGTGAGTGATATAGACCAGTGGTCTCCAACAAAGTCCTCATGGACCACCGACAGTCCAGGTTGCTATGGAGGTATTGCCATTTAAATAAAAAAGGGAAATACATAAATCCTGGACTGTTGGTGGGTCATGAGGACGGGTTTGGGAATCACTGAAATAGACCAAACACTTACGTTTGTAATTATTCTTCTGTATCTTCCATAACCTTTTCCACCTTTTCTTCACTCATTTTCCATTTTTGCCAATTTTCTCTTCCTCTGCATCTTTTATTTAAGCCTGAGCTTTGCAATTCGGCATTTCATTTGCTTTATTTACAGTTTTTTTAATGTTTGCTTTTCCTAGTGTCTTACTCTACATCATGTGTTCCTCAATCTCTCCCCTCTCAGTCTTTTCTTATTATTTATCTATCCCCCATAATCTCTTTTCCTTCCTCAGAGTTCGTGTTCATGTATTTTACCTGCACCCTTTAACCTGTGTGTCTAAAAACCATCCAGTGTGTCAGCTGCCTGAAAATATATATATATATATATATATATATATATATATCAGTCCCTAACTCACCCAGTCTACATATTCTCAGTAATTCAAAGCACACTCTATAATCTCAGACCTCCAAGTACATCACCTTCCCACCCAACATTTATACATTCTTCATTTGAACACACAGAGGTAAGGATGTGCATATATGTCATTTCAAGTCTAGATAGGCATTAACATTTACTGGCCACTGTACCCCTGGAGGTCACTTACTATAGACTAGTGGTAATTGGAAATGTATTTATAATTTTAATATCCTGCTTTGTAAATTGAGCTTTAATCAAACATAAGAGGCTCCTGCAAGGTCTAGCAAACTATTAACAGTTCAGGGGATAAGAAATTCTAAATTAAACAGACTGTGCAATAAAGGACGTGTAAACAGTAGATTACTCTTTATAGGAAGTGTTTAGGATGGCTGTGTAGGTCACATGCAGGGAGGCGTGACTAGAGCTGCATAAACAAAGTGATTCGCCCCTTAAGGACACATGACATGTGTGACATGTCATGATTCCCTTTTATTCCAGAAGTTTGGTCCTTAAGGGGTTAAACTCCTAAATAGCATAGAATTGAGCAGAGAGCCTGCAGGAACATGATCGATACACCAAAATTGCTTCATTAAACTAAAGTTGTGTTGGTGCCTATAGTGTCTTTAAGTGTATCTAGTATTAAGTGTGAGGACTTTCCAAAATGTTAGGTGGAAACAGTATATCTACAAACTTTTAAGTTATTGCCAAATCTTTCAGAAGACGCATTCACAAAAAAGTTTATTGGAGCATGTTTACCTCTCTTTAAAACAAAACAAAGACTCAATATAATTTGAACACTTCAAATTTGCTATGGTGTGGAAGTTTCCCCGTGCGTTTTACTATATAAGCCACATTGCATTTAATTACAGTAGCGATTGCAGGTGCTCTGAAATTAGAATGATGCTTATATTCACTCTACAAGAGGAAAAGGCTTATAAAGATTCAGAGCTGGTGTACGGGAATGTTGAATGAAGGGTTAAGTGTTTAGTGTACTCAAAGTAGGTAAATACTTTGAATGGTAATGCTTTTATAATAGTTGTATTCATTCACAGACATAATGTTTAATATAAACACTACATCTGAGATCTTAAGAGTAATTTATGTCATCCACTTTTGCTGAATTCCATTTAAATGAATACAGCATAATCATTTTGCACAAATGTTCTCCGAGGAGTGTGTAGAAAGTATGAAGCAATACCAGGACTCCCCACCGTTTTATTCATAATGGATCAGTCTATTCATTCCTTATTAATTTAATGAAGTACAACAGAGATGCCTACCAGCTCCGGCTTACGAGTGTTTCACAAATGGGGCTTTTCGCCCATAATCGCTTAATCCTACTGGCTGGGCTTCATAAATTGAATAAAAGAACGAACAAAGTTTTAATTAAGTCCAAGGAATAAGCTTGTCTAAAGGCTCGTTCTGTGCCTTGAGAACACAGAACTGGAGTGTGTTTGTCTTGCATGCTACTAGAATCAACATCACAAGTTGGAAGGATCCATATTAGTGGCTTTGAAGTTAAAGATTTGTTAATACTTTTTTTTTAATTAAAATATTTTTTTTCTCCAATATCCAGTGGGCAAAATACTTGCGGTGAAATTCTCAGGGGTCTGTGTACTAACATAATCCTCAATGTTTATTTCTGCTTGTGCTAAAGTATTCAATTAGGTCCTTGGTTGTCGGAAAAGATGAACTGTTTTCCACTTGGTTATATTCTATTCAGTAATTTTTGTAATTTTGTAATTTTGTTTATATTTTTTTAAGTTGGTCGGCCTAATCATTAGTGGTAGACAAAATGTCTAAAGGTGCTCTGGGCACTTGCTAGATAATTTCTTTATTTGACCACCCTTTAATCTCAGGTGGGGGTCCCAAGAAGGACAGGTAAAAATGGGGAGGGCAAAAATAGACAAACTTATAATAAAGTGATCGTTGAGCGCCAGACTCAGAGACGAAATTGGAAAATTGACTGGGATGAGCAAGATCCAATGCAAGGATTTTCAAATCTATAATGAAAATCCATTTGTCCTTGATCTCCCCTCAGCTCAGACAAAAGCTGTGTCCCTTATATGTAGCAAATGGATTCCTACATAGCAGTTTATTTTATATATATTTATTTTTATTTAATTTAAATTTTTTTATTTTTTTTAACATTTTTTAAAAGTTTAAAAACAGTCCTACTAACGGTTACCTAAGAACAATGGGTTGTCCAGCAACTGTGTGATTGCAACCGATTGCCCCTAAGAAACATTACGTTTATGCTAGATGCACAGCACAGTACAACATACAATGATTCGTCTCATAATAAATGTAAATATTTCTAAAAATCAATTATAAGCTAACGAAGATACAAAAACAAAAAAAAAGAACATATTATTACAAAAGCCCTGTTTGGGTAATTCCGAATCTGTTTACCGGTTTTTCTTTCCATTCCATGCAATCATTTCAGCATTTGAAGCTAATTTACTCTAAAAGACCTCCTTTTTCAGTTTAATATTGCCACAGTGTACAATTACATTTTATCAGCACGTCAGCAAAACACTGTAATGTAACAGTTGCCGGCTGATTAGAGTACATTTTGTACATGAGAAAATACATTGGACAAAGATGTTACTATCTAATTTTTCATTACATGTGTAAGATGCCTGAAAACCTATCTCTATTAAGTAGGGAATGCCCCATAGACAGATGTTGTAATGAATTTTTTATTGATATGTTCATATGTATGTGGGAAGCAGAACAGAAAGACGAGGTTCCGCTTACACCTGAAGAACTGTATATTTAACAGTGACCTGAATCCCAGGTACACTAAGGTGATGTAAATTACCATATTTGAAGTTAAATGTCTTTTTTCAGTCCACTTCAGCAGAAATAAAATAATAGATGACTCCTTTGGAGCAAATCAGCTGTTGAGAGGAACGCATAAAAGAAAGCCAGTGTCCCAATCATTGAGGAATTAATTTATTATGAATAAAAAATAGTTTAAGGCGCACACAGGTTCATTCAAATGCATCTTTAACCACTTCAGTCATCCTGTGGGTTAATGCTAGCTTAGCGGGTAGTGGATCGCAGTGTATCAGT